TGATGCATGAGTATCCCAATGAGACCCAGTAGTAACCATTATGGGCCTGGAGATCCAATAGCCTGGATGCTGCAGAGGTTGACTTGCTTGTTTGGAGTTGGCTTCTGGAAGTCACCAAAGTCACTACAGACTAAGAACCCTTGTCTAATATTGGCCTCTTTTTCATCACCAGACACATGGTCAATTTAAGAAAGGTGTTGGCAGACTGACAGATCCTTTTTTAGCTTTCATTTAATGCCTAAATCATCAATCTCTGCCCTAGACATTTCTGGTGAAAAGATCTGGTGGTCTCCACAAATGGAGGACTTGGAGCTAATGTACATAGAGATTTTCTTTTAGGTGCATTTCACTCTAAGGAAATAAAGTTGCTTCTGTCCTCTATACTTGATATGGAGTTTAACACCCTGAAAAGAGATAAAAGGCAAGAAGAGCTACTGTGTATTCCAGAGGAGCAATTCCCAGGAATGGCACCTGAGAGAAGAGAGTCTTCAGATAAAGTTCAGCTAATCAACCTCCAGAACTAGTGAAAAAAATGAAAGAAAAGAAACTAAGAAAGAAAGAGACAGAGAGGGAGAAAGAAAAGCCAAAAACTTAACTCAAAACTACATCCAAAGCAGTCAGCTAAGGGGAATTGAGAAGGTAGACCATGTCTAGCAGTGAGAAAGCTGGTATATACTTTTGTAGGTAAGTTCACAGGATAAATACAAATACATAGAATTATTAGAACATAAAGAAATGCATATACAAATAAGTGGAAAGTCAAGACATCTATGTTCAGTTTCTAGACATGTCACAAAGCCGCGTAATTTAAGATTCATTTCAGCTGCCAAAGCATCAGGACTATACAGCTGTCTGAGAAGCTTGGTGATACCCCACCTGAACTTGATAATCATGAAGGGTCTGGTTGTCCCTTGTCCTCAGCAACATCTGTCAGCCTTGCCTAGTTCTCCTGGATTCCCTATGTTATTTCAATTGGTACTAGACACCTACATTTAAGGAACTGACTTGATCTGTCAAACATTATGTCAGTAGGCATTTAGGGAATTAGTGCCTCTTGTATGAAATGTATAACAGTTTTAAATCCCACCCTGTGACTCTGTCTCAGTTTCCCAACAGTGAAAAAAAAAGAATTAAAAAAAACCCCAAACCACTTATGCAGTACTTAGACCATTAGGCAATGCAAGCAACATAAGTACTCAGAGTGGTAGAGATGCATGTCTTTTAAAAGCAGCAATGAAGGCCCAGAGTGTAATGCAAATATTAACTGTTGATAGTGAACAGTATTTTAGAATGCCAAGGATAAAATACTTAATATTTTTCTGTTAACTCACTTTGAATGCTGGTCCCTGTTTCTATCATAGTGTGTTTTATCAATCTTTTCAAGAGATTTTTTTTTTCATAAAACTGCATTAATAAGCGATAAAACTTTTCAATATCTTAAATTATTAGGACAACCTACAAATAGATAGTCCTTATATACAGTCCTTAATCAGAACTAGTTCCCACTGGGCAGTGATTTGATTGAGCTGCTTTTATCTCCGTGAATGCAGAATGGAACCTTTGATGAAGCTGTAGAAAACTGCATGAGAGCTTTTAGTGACCTCACACATTTATATATTTACATCTGTTTCTCTGCAAGTCAACTTTTTTTTTTTTCTCTCAGCATATTAAATTATGGAGGTCTGCAAGTCTGCATAAAATTACAGCTTGTCCCAGGGATATCCATTGCTCCTATGCATCAAAAAAATGCATACGTTTTGTTATTGTTTACATCTAATTCATATACTGTGATTTATGACTGATTTAATTGTTTTCTTGCACTATGGAATTGGTTTGCCTGCGAAGTAGCCTTCGCATTAAGAAACTATAATATCATCTGCATCTTCAAATATAGAGTATCTGCACGAAGTCACTACAAATTTCAACGTCTGAAGGACACAACATCCCATTACACAACAAATTATCAAAGTTAATGATGATTGCGTATTCATACATATTCAAGCACATGTGAACCAAAACTTGGGACGGAATGTGCCTGGGGCCTACTAAATATTATGAAGTGTCATTCCTGTACGACCCTAACAGTGGGTAGGAGTTGCACTTGCTATGTGCATAAACATGCTGTAAGTAGAATTAAAGTATTTAATGAAAAAACATGATTTTTTAAAATACTATGTTTCAATGCATTTTTACAACATATATATTCATAAATTACTGAAAAATATTTCTACTGCAAAGTTAATAGAAATCCAGCTGTTTCTTCATATAAAGTCCACACACTTCAGGTAAGATAAACATCCTCATAATTCTAACCACAGTCTAGTGAATAACTTTCCTAATGCCCAAGGGAGACTAAACACAAGGAATTAATTTCCATGATCTAATGAATTATTAGCCATGAAATCTTTTTATCAGAAAATCACCTTTTTATTAAAATGCTAATTTAATTAATAAAATGTTGCTGTTGAGAATAGTATATATGGGATATATTTGTTCTCAGATGTATGTTACTTCATGGACATTAATTTTAACATTGTGATATCCTCCCTTCTGTTCTGAACAGCTAGTAAGACCTGTACTACTAAATCATACTTAATGGAAGTGTGATAGTTGTTGCTTAGGCAACAGAAAGAATAAATGCAGGTCAGACTGTGCTTCCAGAAAAAACAAAAGCAGGAATATAGTAGAGAATGAATAAGAAATACATCTTAACTGATTTTTACTGCATTGAACTATTAGATTTCTTCAATGTAAGGCAGCTGAAATATTTAGGTTAATAAGACTGTAAACTCCAGTTTAATATGTAAACCACTGTAATACAGGTAAAGCTGTTCTGTCATATTAAGGAAGAATACAACATACTAAGTTTGGAATAATCTGAATTTTTCTCTTAGCATAGCAGGTATTTCTCCTCTCATTTTCCTATATACTTTCTAAGTTTAATTTTCCCTTTAATATTTAGCTGAGATGAAAAAGAGCTTTTAAAACACTCATTTAAATTTTTCAAGAGAGGCTTTTCTTACATAATGCTGATGTATTCAAAGGAGTGATATAAAAAGGAATCAGTGGTTTATTTCCAATAAAATACAGGAAATATTATATTTTTGGTACAGACAAAAACTGATATATGCAAAAGCAAGATGAACGGTGAAATGGAAATTATAAAACTACTGAAATTATACATTTTTTTTATTACTACACAATTTCAGAGCTCTTTTATTACTAGATTTATGAGTCTAATACTCCATTCAATGCATGCTACCTCAGCTAATATTAAGAGTAATTATGTATTTAATCAATAATATATTAGAAAAGGCTTAAAATTACCAGAAAACACTGGCTAACAGAGAAGTATGCAAGCAAAACTTAATCTGCCTGATACATTAGAAGTTTGACTTGCATATTGCATAACAAAATCTTGTATGTAATTTGTATGTTTGCATAAGTACAGTAAGAAGAGATGCAGGAAAGTCATATAAATTCCCTGAGACCATGGTTCAGGCCCCTCCAGAGCCAGGGTATGACTGAAAAGCTCTCCAGGTCAGTTATTTGACTTCTCCGGTGCTTGTAATTTACCTGTGGTAGGTGCACCCCTCTGCATTTGTTATGCCACCTACAGCCTCTTGCAAACAGTTTCCTTTTGTAACCTCTTTAAGACTAAATGATCACCTACTTATGTAACTAATGATACAACATATGTAAGAATATGTGGTTACATTTTGGGAAACTGCAGCATGATACACTTTTTATTTTTTCTTCCCTATATTGCTGGGCTGACAGCATAGCTTTGTTTTAAAGAATATTTAGAGGTACAAATTACAGTGATTTTTACTGATTTAAGCAAATGGTCACATGGTAGCCATATAAAACCAGGAAGAAATGTCTACACTATTGTAATGTGGAAATGGCAGAGATATGTCTCTCAATTTTTTGATCAGTAGTCCAAAAGCATATAATGATGTTGGCAAAATAATACAAAGAGAAGGACACAACTCATGTGATGATTTTACAGTTATAATATTCATGCCATTTCACTTCTGTTTCTTATAGGGCAGATATAAGTTATGAAAAGTTAGAATTGTTCCAAGATATACATGGATACTTAAAATACATTTTAAAGATATTTTAAAATATTTTTTAAGACCTAATGCTTTTTAAGAAATATAGTCGGGATTTTTGGAAGAGGCTCAAGTAGGAGGAATACTGAAGCAGGTAGAAAAGTGATTATATAACAGCTTTACAAGTAAGCTTCTCTCTTTAGTGTCAATATTCATTTCAATGGAAAGTTTGTGCATGACAGGTCTGTTACTTCACACCACATGGTGATATTGTAAATCCTGACATAACTAAAATTTCATTTCTTTCAAACATTCCTGATAAATGCCTAGAATTAAAACATAAAAATGGAACAATTACAGGAATGCATTACTTTTTCTCTCAGGGCATAAGTTTCAACAAGTGAATCTCTCAGCCTGATTATCTAAGATGCAAAAATATTTAACCAAGACATCCAGAATTACTTGCAGAGAGAGTAGACTTTATTAAATATTTTTTTTGTTATTAAAATACCTCTCACAGCAAGGATGGCATTGCATGTTCTTTAATTATCATTACAAGTTAATGATGAAATAAAAGTAACAATGTGATGCACTGCAGAAATGGGTGCTTGCAGCTTTTTTGTATTATGAGAATCCTGCAATGGAGTAAAAGAGCTGTGCAGTTTCCCTCTTTAATCGGAGGATTGATAAGGGAGAGAAAGAACATTAATAGTCAATTTTTATTCTACTGAATTTCAGGCTAGACTCTTTTCTAATGTGTACAATCTAGAAGTTTATAAAAAGGCAGTTCATATATTAATTCAGCTACACATAGGAAAGTGAAACACTAAACAGATCTTAGTGCAATGCAGAATAGCTCTAAGGTCTTTATGAGCACATACGAGACAGACAAAAAAGGCAGCTACAGTGTATATACACAGCTACGCACGGAAGATTTCTTACCATGAATTGCACATTGTCAAATCCATTAGCCAGCAAGTGGTTTTCATACTGAGGTAGCCCAATATTTTCCAACCATTGTCCCACTGTCTGGACAGGGCATCGGGGTCCTGTAGGAGGGTGAAGAGGGAGGCGTTTAAGCAACGAATAACCATCCACTGGATAATACCGGTAGTCCTGGGCTGAGAGGTGGCATTGCCACATCGTGTTCCTGGAAAAGTTGGTATCAAACGAGCCCGCCAGCTTGACAGATTAATGGTTTCAGCAAACAGAAAAGTCAGAAGTAAAACATAGTTTTCAGGGCAGTATATAACGTAAGATCTGATCGCAGCTCTACATTTCTTGGTTATTAATCTTTACTACAGACCAGTACGTCACACAGTAGAGGAAAAAAAAAAAAAGGCATATCAAGCTGTCAGCTAAGCTGTTCTCCGTTATATGTGATTGTTGGAATACTCCACAATGAGCAATGCACTGCCAGCAGCAAGAATTCTTTTTATCAAGTACTCCTACACTCATCAGTATGCAGCTCCATGCTTCTTGCTCCCCCTCGCTCGCTCCCCTTCATTACCCAGCCTAGGCTACACCTCGCATTTTCAATAATAGCCATCAGATAAGGCAGATTTTTTTTTTGTCTGCAAGCTGTAAGCCTGCTGCTGCTGCTTCCTCCTACACACCCATCCAAGCGTCAATCTTGAATGATGAGAGCAGTCAAAACAAATGCAGAAAATAGCAAGATTCAAAAGCAACCTAGAGCACTTAAATCTGAATAGAATCTTCATACCAGCTATGCTTTACATATCTATTTGTTGTAGATTTTTACATTTCACAAGACATTAAGAAACACAGTATTTAAAGCATAGCCCATGACATGGTTTACTATGCTTTCCCCTTTCCCCTTTTAATGTAAGATAGGTAGTGGTCTGCATCTCTGCTTATATAATAGCAAAATCCTTTAATGAATCAATAATGAATATATTTCACAGTTTCTCTCATGTAATACAGCAGAAGACATGAAAGGCACAACAATTTTAGTCAAAGTAATTAGATTATCTGCATGATTTCTTCAGCTGTAAAATATAAGACACAAGAAACCTTCATGCCAACATATAATAATTCAAACTGAAAAGGTCACAATTTCAAATGAATAATTAAAGGAATAAAATTGTAACTTTATATCCTTTCTTACAAAAATGTGAATGACAGCAAGTAGAGATAAGATTTTCATGATTTCTAAAGAGGATTTAAATTTTATCAACTACAACTGGAAAAAAAAAAGATTATAAATTTTAAATGAGCGGAAAATTCATTTTGTGCATAAGAAACCAAATACCTCATGATGTATTTTCTATCTACATTTCACCTTTGAGACAGTTTCTCTCAAGATGGAAATATTTTATTCCTTTTTTCTGAAAGGAATGTTTACTAAACTTTTGTTTTTCATAACCATATGAAAGAACTTGGCAAAAAAAGGCAGGAAATAGGTATGTTCAGGGTACAATTCTAGAAGGAATCCTGTCAGTGGTGCTTCATTTATTGAGCAAATTAATTACTTTTTGTTTTTGTTATCCACTGTGAATCTCAAGCAATGACGATCTCAAAGGAGGAATGTAATGAAGTCATGAAGAAATTATAGATGTTTGTCAAGGGGCTAAGTACTATGGTAGATAAGTGTTTCATTGAAAACCAAGCCTATAGTCTGACCAACACATTATAATACAATGTCTCTTCCAGTGTCACACAGAAGGTCCCTGAGCAGTCGCAGAACAGATTCTAAATATATAGAATTAACAATGTTTTAAGAGTTTCAACTCCAACCTGACTAGTCCTTGGAATAAAAGTGGATGACCTTGCACTTTGATATTGCTGCCTGGATTTGTGAAACATCTCATGCAAACTGAAGTCCATAATAATTTTGTAGAATAATTTTAGTTGAATGTAGAATATCTTTCATGAAGTTGGAAAGTTGCTTAAGGTCTCTTATAAGATCTTCTGTTATTCCAGGTATTCTTACTGACTTGATAAATTTACTACACAAAATGTGAAAGGTTCATTATGTCTTTAAAAATACTGAACACTCACCAGGCACTGGTAAATCTGCAGTTGGTGAAGAAACTTTTAGGAGTTTTCTCATTGCTAAATGTACTTCAAATAAATGAATGGATGACTAATCTCAGAGAAAGCAGGTATGTCAAACTGATAGGAAATCTAGGTCTGATGGAAATAGAAATGCATTTGTTCACACAGGTCTGCAAATCATATTCCTATTTTGAAAAGTTTTCCCTACTATGAATGAATATCTTCGTATTATATAGACAGATCATAATCCTTTCAGGATAGTGCCCAGGCATGAGGAAGGGCAGGCTATGCTGAGCTGAGATAGAGGGGACTTTAGCTGAGTAGGCAAATTCAAAAGGCTGGGCAAGATCTTCAGAGGGAAAATTGAGAACAAAGTTATCTTAAATAAGATGAGAATTCTATCCTTTTTGATTTTTTCTTAGTTGACTGAGAATTAATAAACTTCTTTTAAAAGGATTCCCGATTCTGTCTTCCCCTTTCCCCTGTAAGCAGAAAAACTGGTATCAGAAAGAGATCTAGTGAACACAAATGTCTCTGCATTGTGTTTCCCAACACCAAAAATTTGCTGCCCACAAAAAGGCATGCACAATAATCAATACACTAGTTTCATGGTCGAAGTGCTTCTTCCTTACCTTACTATAAACAGCATGGAAGTTATGCTGCCAGTGATGAGTGCTTGGCTCAATGCCTAGCAACACTGTAGGCAAAATTCAGTTGCTGAGTGGCTCCCCAGACACATTTCCACATGTAACTGTTGGTACTGTGTCTAACTGTCTCCATGGCTCCAGCCCTGGATGATTATAGCACTGCTGGTCCCACTGTGCACTCTCTCCAGCTCTGTCCTTTGCCAGTATAACTACATGTCTGAACCCATCAACACAACATAAGGTTGCTCAGCAAGGGGAAAGAGAGGAGAAACAGTCAGCTTGCTGCCTAGTCCTCACCCCAACAATTGTTTCTTGCTAAAGTATCCTGTTATCTACAAGGCTCTTCCTCCCTCTTGCTTCCCCCAAGGGTTATAGCAAGGCAAAGACAGGCACAGAACAGAGCCAGGACTGTTTGGATTAGGGAACTTGCAGCTCTTTAAGATCTCCAGAGCTTTAGCCAGTTCAGGTGTTTTACCTCAGGGGGGTTGCTTGGGCAGTTTTTTCTGAGCCAGTGCAATGAGAACCTGGAGCAGATGCTCCTGCTTTGAGACTAAAAGGCTGTCTCTTGATTTTTTCAAGTCTATGACTCAGTGCCAGCCCCACCAGTGTGCTGCTACAGGCAGTGCCTACACTTTGCCTATGCCTAAAGCTGCTGCAGACATTGAAGATGTCCTGCAGGCTCTGAGATGGTCTCACCTCACCTCAACACACTACCGTACTTTCCTGCGATTTCAAACAACATAAATTCCATGATAATCCTTCTGTGATACCACAATCAAAAAAGATTCACCCATTCCTACACGGGAAAACTGACACTTAAGCTTAAGTCTCTTGCAGAGATAGCAGCACTTGGCTCTTCTTCTCCAAGGCAACAGAAGAAGCACACTGAAGAGATGTCTGCAAGAAAGATGCCATCTGGTACGCTATACAATAATTTCTACGAGACATCCTGTTCCCAATGGGATTCAGAATATGTTTATTGTGGAGTTTGAAATGGACTGAATCTGTGATATCAGAGGGCAGGCACATGATTTCAAACATGTTCTAAGGCAGATCTGCTTGAAATGCTAAATAATTTAAGGGCCTCTCAATTTTATTTTTTCTGCACTTGACAATATGAATTTTTCTTGATTTTTCTTTGTTTTTCAGCTGAGAAGAAGAAGAAACTGCACTGATTACTTGTAGAGGAGGTGTTTCCCCAGTCATTATAAACAGACTATTTTAAACAATTCTTTTTTGATACATACATACCTGTTAAACCATGCTAAACACTTCTGGTGCTAAGGAACCAAAAAGTGGAGGATTTTAGTAGTGACTAGTAGTGACCAAAAAATTTCTGAGTAGAGAATATGAAAGAATGAATAATTTAGGTAAGCTGGCAGGTAAAATTAGCAAAGCTGGAGAAGAAACTGATGCTAGAGTAAGTATTGAAAAATTCTTTTTTTTTTTCTTTTTTGTTTTTATTAAAGCTTTCAACCTTGTATAAAGCTAAATAGGATATATTTTTTCTCTTAATATTTATGATTTCAGGCAGATAAAAAAGTCACCTGTCTACATAGTGTTGGAACTTGTGTGACAGCAGTTAGCATGGCAGGGTGTTCTAGTGAATAAACTAACCTAATGCATGTATCCTGGAGAGGAGATAAGGATACATAGGAACAGGATGTTGTATGAGAAAAACTACGCCTAACATCCAGCAGACTACTATAATGAAAGTTTATTATTAACTTAGTTCCAAAGAAAGATATGCAAGAAAGGTTCCAAGAAAGGTATGCAGGAATCTGGTTTCTCTCATGCATTTCAGTTATATTATAAGGCAGCTCCAAAGGTTTAGAGATTTTAAATGGTCTTTCTCATAAAACTCTGAAAAAAAATGGATGCCTTGCATAAAATCTTTAACTTCTGTCAGCAGCCTGGCTCTTTCAATGATGATGGATGGTAATATTTGGTGATGCTGAATATTTCTCTGAAAGTGTTTTTTGAGATATTTTTCATGGTATATACAGAAACAAAACAAAATCTACAGGGACAGCTTGAATTTAACTAACACTATCTAGTATCTATGATCTAAAGGTTACATTCCACTGCTTATGTGTGGCTCAGAACTCACAAAAATAGCTCTCAGATCACAGCTAATCAAGCTAATGGAATACCCGCAGTTGCTAGGAAAAATCATCCTCACAGTTCTTTTCTGATTTTTATACCAATATTGATTATAACTCTACATTACACTGTGTAAGCACTGTATCTTTAATAACTATAACCTCAAAGTCAACAAGGAAAATTCATTTTACTTGACAGATGATTTGTCAGCAGTGACCTGTACTTTGTGAAACTCACTGGCCCTTCAACAAGTTTGTATTTCTCACTGTTGATGTATTATT